ACGGACACACACACACACACACACACACACACACACACACACTCTACTACTCAGCCCTGTCCTGAAGACAGTCTGGCTTGAAGCCATGCCCACTGGACCCTTCAGTTGAAAAAGCCAATAAGCCCCCATTTTGTTTAAATCTGTGTATTTTTCCAGTTCCTGAAACAAACATAGGGCTGAATAAAATACCCTTTCCCCCTAAAGAATGCCTTTGACTGAATGAATACATTAATACCTAGTGGTTAAGAAGAAAAGAGCCAAGTTCTAAACTCATCCTTGGCACTTGTGTGAGCCAAGTTCTAAACTCATCCTTGGCACTTGTGTGACCTTAGACGTGCCAATTCTCCTCTCTGGGCTCTGGTTTCCCTGCTCTAACAGAGTACAGGGTCACTGTACTGATGGATGGGATGCTGCACAATGACTGCACAGCCCAGTGAACGGGCCTCATTCACAATGAACAGTGCAAACCCTGCCTCTCTCCAAATCAGACATCGATCTCCTGGCCTCCTGTCTTTCCCAGGACAATCTCAGTGCCAGATTCTTGCCCACATGATGCAAAGGAGCAGGTTATTTGTCAACAGGTGACGATGTCCCTGCAGGTTGCCTCTGGCAATAGGCAAGACACAGGTGGCCACAGCTGGCCGCCAGCCACACTCAGGCAGGGCCAGCTGCTCAGCCGTGACTCAGCTCCACCCTGTCCGCAGCTGGAAGTAGCAGCAGCAGACACCAAAGAGAAGCTGGAGGAGTGGGTGATCTGGTCTCTGCAGAGGTGAGTCTACACACACATTTATTCCTCAAAGACAGTTCCACCTGAGCAGAAATTACAGAATCAGTGAAAGTGGAGGAAGCAGACTAGGAGGAGGAAGGTGATGAGAGAAAATTTCAGGGGTAGTGAAGCAGCTGTTCTTCTCTAAGTTAGGGAGCAGCTTGCTGGATAATTGCAGAAACAGGCCAGCCCTGGTTTCTACATTAGAGGAACATAATAGGAAGGGTAAGGAAATGTTGATTCACGGCCAAACAGTGAGGCTGGCTGATTAACATGGACTAGCGTTTCAGATTAAGGCACAGGGTGCTAATAGGGATCAGTCCGAACCCTGGGAGATTCAGGGATCCTCAGTGCCTTCCAGGCCTCTGTCCCCCTTTTCAACCACAGTGGGCCCTGACCAATCATAGTAATAGCCCGTGGCAACTCCCAACTCATGGACACTCCTGTTTGCATGCCAAAGCGGGATGAGATGCCACCAAGTGGAGAGGGTTGCCATCACTGAGCCCTACGTCCCAGTAGTTCTCCTCTCTACTCAATAGCTGACAACGCCCTTGTGCATCCTTGCCTGCTGAATGAAGGATCATGGGCTGCACGTACACAGGCAGCCAAGGCTCAGGCTCCAAGGTAACGGGAAAGACCAACTCCATGCGGGACGTTGGGCAAGGAACTAAGAGGTCGAGTTCTGGAGGAAGCAGGCTGGGCGAGAATCCCAGCACCTGCACCTACTAGATAAGTGCCTGTGGGCAAATCACTTCTTGGAACCTCAGCTTCTTTACTTGTAAAATGGAAAGAAAAAAAAAGCACACAATACATATAATCCCTTCCTTATAGACTCAATTAGGTCCCAAAGGCCAGGTTGTTACATGATAATTGGCATTAGACCATAAAGTGGAGGATGACTATGTCATTACACAACAGCCAAGCTGACACACAAGCTTCACCATTACCGCCAGCATTACTCTTGCTTTGCACCTTGGTGTTCGTCACTGCCAGCTGCCAATGGTGTGCCATCGGGCACAAGAGGAGGACAGTAGAATCTCTACTACTGTTGTAAATGGGAAATGTCAAATAATGAGACAGAATGAGATACATTTGGCAAAATGCTTGCTCTTGAGCAAGTTTTCTCATTGGAAGGAATTTGCAATGAGCTGGGACCATGTAAGTGGACTTCATGATGGAGTGGTCCACATGGACAGCCTGACAAGGAGTTCTGGCAGCAAGCAGGTAGCCCACAGGGACAGTGACAGCAGGGCAACAACACACGAGACTCAAAGGAGCAGAAGGAACCAGTGGCCCAGGAACCTGGGATGTAGAAGCAGGCTGGCCTGGGCTTCAATCTTGACACTACCCCTTGCTGATTGATTTTGGGTGAGTCTTTCAGCTTCTCTCGGACTCTATTGCTTCACCTGTGAAAGGGGCCTAATAACACCCTCTCCATAGAGTGTGAAGGTTAAAGTAACACACCTTGGGTGCCTAGCATAGTGCCGGGCATGGAACAGAGAGCACACAGACTAGCTCCTTTCCCCGAGTCTCCACAGGCCCGTTTTCTCACCTGCCAAACCCACTGGCTCTGCCCAGCTCCCAGGGCGTGGTGACACATGTTCACAGGCGCACTGAATGCACAACGTGGTCCTGTATGTGAGCCAGGACGAAGGCTCTCCTCCACACATCACCTTGCTCCCCAGCAGAGCGGGGGACACCCACAGAGCTTGGCTCCCCTCAGGTTCAGAGATCTCAGTAGGAGGCGGAGCAGGAGGTCCTGTGACACACCTTCTTTTTGAAACCATCTCCTCCCTCCCAGGGACCCAGCCCCTGCTGTCATTTTGCATCTTGTTAAACCCAAAGTAGGTGCCTCTGTCTGTAGCACCTGAAGGGATGGGGTAAAGATGGCCAGGCCGATGTGAGGAAATGGGCTATGGCTCTCTGTGTCCACTAGACAGGGTCAAGTTCAAAGCCTTTGCTACATTTGCTATATAAATCAAGTCAATCAGAAGGAACACTGCCAAGGGCCACAGGGGCCAGAAAAGTGAGGGGACGGAATCAGGATGTGGCTGGGAATGTCTCCTAAGACCATAAACTAAGGGCAGGCAGGCGTGTGCGTGTGCGTGTGTGTGTGTGTGTGTACCCACCCCCCCATCCCTTCCTCTCAATATCAAGCATGTCCCCTGTGCTCTCCTCAAAGCATCTGTACGAGCCAGTAAGCTTAGCTTGAGAATGCGCCCAAGTCACCTCGTGGTGACCAGTTCTGTCTGTCTACTTGCCGGGAAGCCGACAGGAAACCTGCTCAGTTCCTCTCCACCCCCAGCCTTGCCCACAGAGGTGGTGGCCTATGCAGTTTGCAGCTAAACTTAGTCTGGCCAAGGCCTGAGGTCACGGGGTAGAAAGGGCTGAGGGAAGTCAGTGTGCCTGGGCCAGAACCAAATGTTTTCTTAGACCCTTACTGGAAGCCCGGGACCAAGGTGCTGATGTAAGGGGCTCCATCAGTGGGTCTCCCCTCAGCTGGCTCGACCTCTGCAGACTAACCCAGCCAATCCCACTAAGAGTTGTCCACTGACGAGCTTCCTTCCATGTAGCTCCCACCAGGATGTGGTGGCCACTGTACATGGTAACTCGCTCTACCTTTCTAAGAGGTGGGTGTTTCCCTTCTCTCACAGTTGGGTTAACCAAAGCCTAAGGATATTGTCACTTTTTAGCCACAAAGCTTGAAGAGAGTAGCTGGGCTGGGATTTTAGCCTGTTCTATTTCCACCTGCAAAGCCAGTGTTTTTTTCCTATGCCCATTTACACAGCACAAGAACATGCTGGGTGCTAACAGGGCCCACAACAAGGAATACAACATGACCCTCAGTGGTGGCAACAGTGCGATCCATGTGAGAGAAGGCCAATTACTAAGTACCATCTCAGGCAGCATGAACTGTGTGGTGGAGAAGGGTTAGAACAGCTGGCTACAAAAGTGTAGCAGGGAGAGCTATATTCCTGTCCCTTGGGGCTCCCTACTTTCTATAACTCTGC